CCGGATACAAAAGTACACAGAATGCGAAAAGGGTTTCAAAATTAACAGGAACTTTAATTAACGGTTACAAACTTTTGATTACCAGCGCTCTGGCATTTGGACAATTTTCAGAACCTATTATTATACCATACATATTCATGTATTTAAAGAGAGCACGACTAACAGGTCTATTCTGCACGTTACCGAAGATTTTGTAACCGAAAATTTTATTACCAAAAAATGTTACCAGTTCTTGCCACCGCGATTCAATTCAGCTATGAAGAATTGTGCAAATTCTGGCATTGCATATTTCACGGGGCAATAATTTGTTACCAGCTTATGAGATGGTGACAAAATGTACCGGATACAAAAGTACACAGAATGCGAAAAGGGTTTCAAAATTAACAGGAACTTTAATTAACGGTTACAAACTTTTGATTACCAGCGCTCTGGCATTTGGACAATTTTCAGAACCTATTATTATACCATACATATTCATGTATTTAAAGAGAGCACGACTAACAGGTCTATTCTGCACGTTACCGAAGATTTTGTAACCGAAAATTTTATTACCAAAAAATGTTACCAGTTCTTGCCACCGCGATTCAATTCAGCTATGAAGAATTGTGCAAATTCTGGCATTGCATATTTCACGGGGCAATAATTTGTTACCAGCTTATGAGATGGTGACAAAATTTACCGGATACAAGAGTACACAGAATGCGAAAAGGGTTTCAAAATTAACAGGAACTTTAATTACCGGTTACAAACTTTTTATTACCAGCGCAGAATAGACCTGTAAATCGTCGGCCGAAGAAGTTTGTATGCAGTGTGCAGGGGCTCTTAAATATTTGAATCATGACCAAAGCGAATGTATGAATGCGGCTTGCAAGGCGAATTAATATAAGGTGATAGCAGGAGTACAAAAACAAAAATTTACATGTGTTTTGTTATTGCTTTATTGCTCATTATCGACGATTTCGACAGCATCCATATAGCATGTGATCGATAAAGCAGTAGTTGTATCTAACCGGAGCTTCTACCTCCGATTTGTGCTAATCAGACATTGAACAACCGGCCCTAAGAATGTGTGTAGAAATTCAAACAAAATTTTTCATTTTGATATCAGAAGCCGTGCGGCGAAACACATACACAAAATCAGCTGAGCTAGTAACACCACCTCATGGACGAAAGACACAAGATCACGTAAGAACAAGAGAGTGAAAAAAGTAGATTTTTTAGCGGGTTCTACGCCATCTTGTTTCACTGGAAAACGACCGAAAAGTAAACAAAGCAAAAAAAACAACGAAAACCAAAATTAGCCAAAATTATTGTCAGACACTTTAAGCGCACAATTTATGTAAAATGATGCAATAAAATGCTTAAAAATGTGTTGTCATGTTGAATTAACTCTTCTTTACTTAAAATAAAGTGTAAAATAGTGGTGCTTGTGATGTAAACAAACGCTCAGCTGACGNAAAAACAACGAAAACCAAAATTAGCCAAAATTATTGTCAGACACTTTAAGCGCACAATTTATGTAAAATGATGCAATAAAATGCTTAAAAATGTGTTGTCATGTTGAATTAACTCTTCTTTACTTAAAATAAAGTGTAAAATAGTGGTGCTTGTGATGTAAACAAACGCTCAGCTGACGAACCCGCTTTTTTCTCAAAACCAGTTACAAATACAACGTCGCGTTCTTTTTGGTTTATGACACCACCTTATATAACTGCCCTTCTCCACAGGATAAAGTTTATATCTTGATACATATGTTAGAATATAAATAGCCAATGGAGACCGCTCATTACTCTTCAAGAGCAATATATAGGCCTGCTCAAACAGGCGCGGTGCGGTACAGCGCGGTATAATCCCGTACGATACGCGGTAACGATATACGCAAAGGCACTCAAACAGGCGCGGTGCGGTACAGCGCGGTATAATCCCGTACGATACGCGGTAACGATATACGCAAAGGCACTCAAACAGGCGCGGTGCGGTACAGCGCGGTATAATCCCGTACGATACGCGGTAACGATATACGCAAAGGCACTCAAACAGGCGCGGTGCGGTATAGTAAGAAACATTGTTGCCATGTGACGAGCTCAAATTAACGGCATTCTACGCATTCCTCTTTCTAAATTTATATATTATAAATCCGATTTTCGCAATGGATAGCTCAAGCTCTGAGGACGAATTATTGCTATTAGCAGTAGAGCTGGGCTTTCTAGTTCATTCCAGAGATTTAGTTCTTTTGTTCTTTTTTTAATGAACGAACAAGTTGTTCTTTTTGTTCATTAGTTCTTTTTTTTGTTGTAAGCAACTTTGTTCATTGTCATTGTTGAACAATCTCGTGCCTACGAAACAGGTGTACAGAATAAATCAAGGCCGTGTATAACATACATATTTAGGGTATTCACAAGACGTGTTAACCGTCGTGAAATCTTAAGCTTAACATTTTTTTAATGTAAAATAATGATTAAAATGGTTCTAGAGGATTTTTAACTACACCGAAATGTTTTTTAACTGACAAAAAATTATAAATAGCCCACCTAAAACCATTTTAACCGTTGTTTTACATACAAAAATGTTAAGCTTAAGATTTCACGACGGTTAACACGTCTTGTGAATCCCTTAATTATGCATTTATATTTTATAATAAAAAGCAATTTCAGTAAAATTGCATTTTGTTATTTGAGCGAAAGTTAAGATGCATATACATATTTGTATGTATGTATCATTGACCTTCAACATTCTTAAAAGTCCCGAAAAAGTTTGAAAGGTCTCTTAAATATCTCGAAACGTCACTAAAATATTCCAATGTATAATTTTGAATTAAAATTTTTAAATTTAATTAATGTAATTGTATTACAAAACATGTTTTTAATAAATTTAAAGATGAAATTTTTTTACATATTGTTATGTAAAAACGTCAGGTGTGTCAACTTTTCAGGCAATAAAACGGATCTTCTGTCGGTAATAATTTGCCCTGCTACTGAAAAAATCCTCTCGCAAGGTACAGAAGTTGCAACAATACAGAGACGTTTCAAAACATAGGCATATAAGCGAGGATATATCTTTTTCCGCTCACACCACCACTTGAGTGGATCATCTCTTCTATTTAAATATTCCTCGTTTAAATACTTATCAACTTCATCGTGTTGCTGCCACAATGGTATTCATCGAACTTGTTACCAAAAGGAATTCAGAGTCGTACTCGTCCCAAATGCTTCGCCTCGGCTGAAAATTGTTTACGTTCTGTTGAAATGTCTCAACTTCTTCAACCCTGGCACTTTCTGCTGGTTGTATTACTGTTAACTTTTTTTTGAATTGCTCCATTGCGCTTTTGTATGCATACTCATTTTTGAAACCACGCCCTTTAAATCGAGGGTCGAGTATTGTACTTTCTGCATATAAAATATTATTTTCAATTTTAGAAAAACGTGTCATCATCTCTGTTTGTAGCACTTTTAAAACACCCCTAACGTCTTCTGAGTTGGCAACCTTTCCTGCTATGAATTTTTGCAGCATTTTGCAAAATATAGTGACCTGTAGGGATAATTTTTTTTTACTATTAGCATACATACATATGTACATATATTGTCTCTAAGTCTTACAACCTTGGAAAGGAGTAACGTTCTGCTCAGCGGACAACTCGGTACTCACTTCATAAAATGGCTTCAATACGGGTACTATTTCTTCTATTATAGCCCACTCCTGGTGAGTCATACAAAGGTCAGGCTTAAGACGTGACAGAACTACATTTAAGGCATCTTTAACCTTTAATAGACGATCAAACATCTCATATGTTGAGTTCCATCGCGTTTGCACATCAATTTTTAATTTTAATTCAGGCATATTTAATTGTTTTTGTGTTTCCATTAGTTTTTGTAACCCATTAGCGCTTCGATGAAAAAACTCAGCAATCGCTTTTGATTTTATTTTAATACTGTCTAGTTGTTGCAATCCTTTTTGAACTATTAAATTAAGTGTGTGTGCGAAACATGGGACTGAACGCCATTGTCCTATCTTTATTGCTCCAATAATATTTGCTGCATTATCTGACACAACTGCTGTAATTTTATTAGAAATCCATTATTTTTCTCAGTGTTGCACACAGGTTGTCACTGGTATGACGCTCCGCATTTTCGATACAAGCTATAAGGTGAGATTTTAATATACCTTTTTCAGGTTCTACGAAATGTGCGGTTACTGCAATATAACTTTGATTGGCCCTCGATGTCCATGCATCTGTGCTCAAGCACACAGCACTTGCCAAACGTATCTCTTCGTGTAGTTTCGCCTTTAGTTCATTATAAACGTTTGGCAAAAGCGAGTTTGACAAACTTTTGCGCGTAGGAAGCTTGTATCCTGGGCAATGAGTGATCATTTCAATTAGATTTTTAAACTCGGAATCTTCTACAATGCTAAGCGCATGATTGCCTTTTCCTACCATTTTAAGAACCTGACGGTCAATTAGCTCTACTTTTCGAGTTGGAGGTGGTCGTCGGATAAAATTACTAATTATTTGTTGGCCCGCAATAGATACTAATCCTGTAGTTGATGTTGGCTGCTGTGTTTCCAACGACGATATCTCTTGCCGAACGACGGCTAAGGTGACTGTTGGGTGCTTCACCTTCAAATGCCGAGCAAGATTGCTTTGCGACCCACCTGCTATGCTTAATGTAGCCTTACAATACACGCATTTCCCACTCTTGCCGCCTTCACCTACAATAAAATGGTTCCATAGCTCGGAACGCTTTCTTTTTTCAGCCATAAGAAAAACTTTGTAGGAACAATAAAATGTTGAGTATTCGTGAGAAATTTTCAAGATAACAGTAGTTTGAAAGCGAAAACAAGTGTTGCCGTAAGTTTATTTTACGGCTAATAAATTAAATGGCAGTGTAGCCAGAAATAACCTTAGCAATGATCTTTGCTGGCTGGGGATTTATTTGCTAAATAACAATTGTAGCGCCCTGGTAACACTCTTAACCAAGTCTTTATTCATCGACATTCATGATTCTTGAACAAGAAGAACGAAAAGAGCGACATAGACAAAAAGAACTAGAAGAACGAAGATCAAAGATTTAGTTCACTAGTTCAGTTAAAAGACCCGGTCAATTGAACAAGTTCAGAACGAAACGACCCAACTCTAATTAGCAGCACTTCTCGATGAAGAAAACAGAAGGTATGAATATGCCTATATCGTTGTTTTATCCTGCAAAGTTCTTAATTTATGTATATGTTTTAGAAAAAGATGGGTTCACGAAATAAATTTGAGAAGAGAAGAAGATGGTGAATTTTCCAGCCTGATGCCCCAACTGCGTAACCACGAGGAAAGATTTTATAAATATTTCCGCATGCTCCCTGAATGCTTTGATGAAATACTAAATTTAATAAGGACTGATATTACAAAGCAACACACAAATTGGAGGGAGCCAATATCTGCAGAAGAGCGGTTAATGATAGCCTTAAGGTAATAAGTTTATTTAAAAATAAGTTTACAGGTGATTAAAAAATATGAGTCATTTAATCTTCGAAGTTTGAAAAATAAGCAGCTAGTGAATCCTGTGTGTAACTTTCTGTTGAATTGCTTTCTGTTTGCGGGCAACTTTCTTTTTCGTTTTGCTCTACCAAATGATCAATCTCATGTCGCATTATAATTTTGGCGAATTCATGTTTTACTTCCATTTGCCGCTTTAGTGAAAAAGTTTTTATTGTCTTAGAATAGCCAAGAAATATGTGATCTGTGCCATCTAGATCCGTGCGGCTGCGCTTATTTTTTATATGACCAATTATATCTTCAACAGCAGACTGTGAAGTGCTTCCACGTTTTCGCACAGAAGTTGTGGATGGTGTTGAGCTGCAACTCGGTTCTTCATCTAATATTTCTTCTTCGGTCGGAATTTCATGAATATTGCTCACTGTTGAAGCAAAAGAAAGAAATGGCTTAAAATACTGCATATGCGTTGCCCATTGCCAAGTTTTATATCGCTGTGCGCTTTGACCGGTTTTTTTGCTGCAATCCTTAAGTGCTTTGCATAGGAGTCTCTCAAATTTTTCCACTTTTTTTCACAGTATCAACTGAAAGTAAAAACATGTTTATTTTCAGATTTTTATCGACTAAGGACAGCTTTTCTACAATTGGACACAGTTTCAGAGTCGGATTCACTACCGTTAGCGCAATCGTGGAAGAAGTTTGCGAAGCAATTTGGTTACGTATGCAGCCCATTTACATGCCTCAGCCAACAGAAGCCATATGGAAAAATTCAGCAGAGCAATTTTACGAAGCATGGCAGTTCCCAAATTGCACAGGAAGTATCGATGGGAAGCATGTTACAATAAAGTGCCCAAAAAATACTGGTTCGCAACACTTCTGCTACCTAAAACAATTTTCGGTGGTTCTTTTAGCTATTGTTGGAGCTGACTTTAAGTTTTTATGTGTCGACATAGGAGGTTATGGCAAAAATAGCGATGGAGGCATTTTTGAAAACTCCAGCATGGGAAAAGGTTTGAAACCGGAAATTTTTGCATTCCGGAAAGTAAACCTCTACCTGAAGAAACTGAACCGACTCCGTTCGTTTTAGTTGGGGATGAAGCGTTTGCTTTAAAGACCTATCTCATGAAACCTTTTCCAAGATGAAACATCTACAACACAAGATTTTTTTTATTGCGCACAAAAATAATAGGTAATGATTTATACTAGAGATGGGCACGGGCCTAAATTTTCAGGCCCGGCCCGGCACGAGTGTAAAATCAACTTTCAAAAACACGCACAAGCCCGCACGTTAAGAATTTTAGTGGGGCCCGGCCCGGCCCGGCACGACTTTTATTGTATGTATACATATGTACATAATTTTAATTTTGTGTTTATGTCCATATGTATATTTACTTAAGCGAATCAATATTTTACATCAAAGATTTTTATAATATATTTTCTGTGTAGTAGAAAAAGTGGAAGGTATTTTATGTACAGATATGTATGTAAGCAAAACTACTAAGTATCATATATTTTCTATCGGTTTCCAAATATTTCTTTTTTTGCTTTTCTCTTATCAAAGAGTTTTAAATATGTACTATTTTTTTTTGTATAAAACCAAAAGCTCGTCTAAATTTTTAGTATTAGCATCGGGCTTTTTCGTGCCTTTTCGTGCTTTTATGAAATTTTACTGAACGCCCAGGCCCGCACGAGTTCGTGCTGACAGCAAATATTCCAGCCCGTACCCGTCTCTATTTTATACACAACACGTTAAATTACTGACTTACATTCTTCGTTCAGTTCATCACCTAATGTTTTCCAAATTTCATCTTTTTTTGTATATTTTTATATTCAGGATGTTTTAAATCGTATGAAATTGGATAGCATTTTACCAGCTCAATTAAACGCTCCATTTTGAACGTTTTGCGAAAGAATTTAAAATTCCAGTAAATTTATCGTTCATATTTCTGAGCAACATTGCCAGATTATATTTTTTAACAAACGAAAAAGTTCAACTTTATTTTATTTATTTTGTGAGAAGTAAAACCAAAGAATATCACATTTATGCCAACAAATGTATTACGAGCACTTTTAAACTCATGTTTTTTATAATGAAAAAGGTAGAATTTATAATCTATAGCACTTTTGTAGATAAAATATGTGGTAGAACTCTAGCTCTAAATTATATCTCATATCTTCTTATACCACGCGGTGAACGCTGCATGCTGCGGTAGAATTCTGTACCACACTTCCAATACCGCGTCTGTTTGAGTGCTCCCATATACCGCCATGGTATTTGATACCGCATATCGTACGGGATTATACCGCACCGTGCCGCATCGCGCCTGTTTGACCAGGCCTTTAATCAGAGCTTATATCTTGCCATCTATTGCCGGCAATTTGGTAGTTTGAGAGCTACATGTTCATTTGCATGAAAACTTCGTGGCGGCAACATTATTGATATTTTAATATAAAAGCAGATAATGAACTGTTTTCGGTTAAAATATTTGTTATTACGTAATTGGATGTAAAATAGCCTATTTTCTAAATTTTTTAAGTGATTAAATCCGGCAAAAATACGTTTTAGAAGCTATCTCACAGATGCCTATATCAAGATATAAAAAGCCCACACAAATATTGCCACTGATATAATTTATATCTAGCCACCAAAATGACAGCTGGACAGCAATAAATTTTATCCTATGGAGACGGCCAGTAAATTCGCCTTGGCGGCTTGCTTTTCCCTTTCAGACACGTCAAGTCTTGCTTTCAAGTCTGTTCGTTCGTTAGTGATGGCGGGGGGAAGAGAGGGGAGGAGTACAGATACCTACGTACCGTCAATTCGTTTCAAGTTTTCTTGTTCTCTTTTGATCTTTTCGTTGCTTCCCATTTAAAGATCCGAGGACTTGAATTCAATAAAACTTGACGCGTGTGGAAGCAAAGAGAAAACACAAAAGAGAATGCGATAGAAATTGCTTTCAAGACTTGACGTGTTTGAAAGGGGACTTAGCTGTCAATTGTCGGTGTCGATTTCCAAACCAATTTCCTGCAGGCCGTCTTTGTTTATTATTTTTTATAACTAGATAGGTCGGGCAGCATAATGATTATTTTTTCTACTTGTTTTCTATTTATGTAAATTATTTATTTCTTACAGCTTGGTTTGCATATTGTTTAAAAGGATGTCGATTTACATAATTTGCTTAACAACAAGTGGAGGTCTACCAGTGTTTACTCGCAAAAAAGGGGACTGCGATAATGTAAGTTAAAATAATGATCCTTTTTTGCATTTATTGGTAAATTGATCTTTTCAGTTGCCCTTTTCTACTGTGGCTTCACTAAATGGTTTTCATATGTTCTTCAAATCACTGGGTATAACCCTGCAAGTAACATATTCTGAGGATTGGACTTATGTTTGGCGAGATTTCCACAATGCTGTCACGTTGATAGTTTGTGCCCGTTCAATGTCTGAAGCGGTCCTGCAGTCACTAGCCGACGTAGTGTTTGGTGCAATTGCACTATTTGTTAATTATAAGGAGCTTGTTGATTTAACTTTGTTGGATCGGATGAAGAAGGAGGCAAGAAATTATGTGCCATTAGTAGATGCGGCATTAGAAGCGTGCACAACGCGCATATTAGGATTTACCGACTGTATACTATCAACGGAAAATCAACAATTGGCGCAGCGACTAAACGATTTTAGTGACCTTTGCGGTTCGCTTTTCTGCTGCCTTGTCGTTGGAAATAACGTAGCAGTGGGTACAGAAGGCTGGTGGGATTTGGATCCAATAGATCGTGAATTACTTTTATTATTACTAAATTCGTCGAGTACTATACAGAATGATGTCCCTGTGTATTTACCAAAACGAGATTCAACGGTGAGCAATTTTTGATTGATGATGGATTAATATAGTGTGTAATTTTCTATTTCTAATCAAAAAAGTTGGCATATCGTTTCGTAAGTATTCCATTAGCGCCAAGTAGTATCATTTGTGTTATATGTGGAGCAGGTCCGAGTTTTCGCGATTTGCGGACTATGTCACAGGATGTGTTTGGCGAAAGTCAATTGCAGAACGTTGAGCGATGTATGCCACGCAGTTTACCAGAGCAATTAGATATCGATCAGTGTGTTCTGTCTATTATAGTTGCTAATACAAACGCAAAAAAATGTGTTTTTTCTCGTAATTTAAACCAAAATTCAGGAGGAAAAAGAGTATTAGGGGGCGGCCTTTTGCGTGTAGATTTAATAAAAAAGATCTTTGATCAAACTCTGCAATATAACAAAGTACTAAATGAAGACTGTAAAATTGTACAACTGCGAACGCGACATATGGAGCCACTGGATCAGTATTGGTGTTTGGATTACCATAAATGTTATGCTCATTATGATCAGCATGGAAATACTATTTTCATCCTCTTTATATCATCTATACCAACACCTGCAATGAGGTATTAGTTTTTATAACGAATTTCCACGTGTACTCAATACTCGCACGTAAGGGTATTCCACAATAGAGAAAGTCTGCCTATGCAGAACTGTCACAGTTACTTCAATGTTTAAAGTAGAAAAAATAAATATTAAAAAAAGGTCTTCGTTGGATTCTTGTTGACAACTATCGGCGTTGTTTACAACTAGGTCGGTTTCTGTCCGGACTCGACCCCAATATTCCCAATGAGTTTCCGTTATGTGGAGATTCCCCGCACAACACCAACCACCTGTTCGCATGCCAGCAATCCCACTCAACTAAAACCCCTCTCCCTTTGGTTTGGCCCTATTGAAATTGCCCGTTTTCAGGGCCTACCGTAAGTTGAGCTTCGCGACAATGATTGAAGGATGAACCAAAATACGCAGGGTTAAGTAGTGCCGCAACAATAACAACAACAACAACTAAATATCCCACGTTCCCACCAGGGTTGTTGCGAATATTTTTCCTAAATAAAAGTCCTTTCCGCATAATGAACAAACCCCCTGTCCAAATTAAACAAATTTGGTATCATATGAAAGAGGACTGAAATACCTGTTAATAGCCGGCATGCGGAAAGACCCCTCACGACTCGAAACATCTCTTCGCATGCCCGGAAAACCCCACGACCCTAACGGCTACGTTCCTGTGGACCGACCCAATTGAGGCTGCATGCTTCTTGGGGCTGCCGTTAGTGGAGCTCGACGACAACGACTGAGATATCAGCCGATCTGGGCGGGGTTGTTGTAGCCGCTATAAAAACAACAACAACGACCTCTATTTATATTTTTTTTATAATTTAATACTAAAGAAATGCATATACCTGACACAAGATTTGTTTTACGGTAAATAATTAACATTTTTTATTGAAATATTTTTCAATATACGGCTTTCTTCGCTTTCATTTGATACCAAACTTGTTTAATTTGGATAATCGGTTTGTTTATTATCCGGAAAGAACTTTTATTTCGGAATAATATTCGCAACAACCCTGGGCTCGAAACGCAACAAACGATATCGTACTATTCGTCACGTAAAAACACATTTTTCGGATGATGACATACGTAAACATACTCTTTGTCCCATTCAGCTTATACTGCCTGACGTATCACGTCATTTTCTTTCGTATCGTTTTCGATCCGTGAACGGATGTTACGATTCGAGCCCTGTTCAAACTGACGCCAAGAGAATTTAATAGTTTACGAGATATTTGCATTTTCCTCATTCGCCTTTATATGAATTCGCCTTTATATGAGTATATGGTACCAGTGCACAAATCCCATTAAGGCTGCAATGCAAGATTTAAAATTTTTACAAAATTCAATTGAGTACGCCCAAACTGATGCAGTGGTATCCAATGCGGTTTTGAAAAAGTTCAAAAGTCATTTATGGTACTTAATGCCGGAGACAACAGCTTTAGCGTTTTTTGATAATGATGTGCCAGTGGAGGAAAAACGAGAAATGGTGAAGGCACTGCAAGCAGTCGAGCCAAACGTAAAATTCAGTGAAGATAGAGTAATTTCAAATCCCGTTCTCTTGATTCGCAAAACTATTAGAAATTTCGGGTCCTACAAAACTAAAAATTCCTTCGTTGCCCTTTGGTTTGTCTTCTGACTTCTTACGGATGGATCCATCCGAATGGGNGTAATTTTCTATTTCTAATCAAAAAAGTTGGCATATCGTTTCGTAAGTATTCCATTAGCGCCAAGTAGTATCATTTGTGTTATATGTGGAGCAGGTCCGAGTTTTCGCGATTTGCGGACTATGTCACAGGATGTGTTTGGCGAAAGTCAATTGCAGAACGTTGAGCGATGTATGCCACGCAGTTTACCAGAGCAATTAGATATCGATCAGTGTGTTCTGTCTATTATAGTTGCTAATACAAACGCAAAAAAATGTGTTTTTTCTCGTAATTTAAACCAAAATTCAGGAGGAAAAAGAGTATTAGGGGGCGGCCTTTTGCGTGTAGATTTAATAAAAAAGATCTTTGATCAAACTCTGCAATATAACAAAGTACTAAATGAAGACTGTAAAATTGTACAACTGCGAACGCGACATATGGAGCCACTGGATCAGTATTGGTGTTTGGATTACCATAAATGTTATGCTCATTATGATCAGCATGGAAATACTATTTTCATCCTCTTTATATCATCTATACCAACACCTGCAATGAGGTATTAGTTTTTATAACGAATTTCCACGTGTACTCAATACTCGCACGTAAGGGTATTCCACAATAGAGAAAGTCTGCCTATGCAGAACTGTCACAGTTACTTCAATGTTTAAAGTAGAAAAAATAAATATTAAAAAAAGGTCTTCGTTGGATTCTTGTTGACAACTATCGGCGTTGTTTACAACTAGGTCGGTTTCTGTCCGGACTCGACCCCAATATTCCCAATGAGTTTCCGTTATGTGGAGATTCCCCGCACAACACCAACCACCTGTTCGCATGCCAGCAATCCCACTCAACTAAAACCCCTCTCCCTTTGGTTTGGCCCTATTGAAATTGCCCGTTTTCAGGGCCTACCGTAAGTTGAGCTTCGCGACAATGATTGAAGGATGAACCAAAATACGCAGGGTTAAGTAGTGCCGCAACAATAACAACAACAACAACTAAATATCCCACGTTCCCACCAGGGTTGTTGCGAATATTTTTCCTAAATAAAAGTCCTTTCCGCATAATGAACAAACCCCCTGTCCAAATTAAACAAATTTGGTATCATATGAAAGAGGACTGAAATACCTGTTAATAGCCGGCATGCGGAAAGACCCCTCACGACTCGAAACATCTCTTCGCATGCCCGGAAAACCCCACGACCCTAACGGCTACGTTCCTGTGGACCGACCCAATTGAGGCTGCATGCTTCTTGGGGCTGCCGTTAGTGGAGCTCGACGACAACGACTGAGATATCAGCCGATCTGGGCGGGGTTGTTGTAGCCGCTATAAAAACAACAACAACGACCTCTATTTATATTTTTTTTATAATTTAATACTAAAGAAATGCATATACCTGACACAAGATTTGTTTTACGGTAAATAATTAACATTTTTTATTGAAATATTTTTCAATATACGGCTTTCTTCGCTTTCATTTGATACCAAACTTGTTTAATTTGGATAATCGGTTTGTTTATTATCCGGAAAGAACTTTTATTTCGGAATAATATTCGCAACAACCCTGGGCTCGAAACGCAACAAACGATATCGTACTACTCGTCACGTAAAAACACATTTTTCGGATGATGACATACGTAAACATACTCTTTGTCCCATTCAGCTTATACTGCCTGACGTATCACGTCATTTTCTTTCGTATCGTTTTCGATCCGTGAACGGATGTTACGATTCGAGCCCTGGTTCCCACCACGACAGTCGGGTCTACGTACCCGGAACGACCCAGACTTATATCTGGCCAAGGACTGCCATTCCAGCAACACACCCCAAAAACTTTCGGGAATCTGTACGCTGTTACAATAATAACAACAACACACAATATTCACCACTCCCCGGTAGTCGGAACTTGATCCTTGCAAGCTGTACACTTTTTAGTTGTCGGAGTTTGTAGCAAAACAACCATTTTAAATGGAATATTTCTGGTTACGCAGTGTAATGAATAGGTCTATAAAGAAAGAGGGTGGGGTTTAGTACCGCTCACAACTATTTCGGGCTATTCCGTCCAAATGGGTGGCCCGATCCAAAAAAAAATTTCACACACTTGTAGTCAAGGGTCTTCGCAATATTTTAACACTCACTTTTGTAAATTTTGGTTACTAATTTATTTACAAATTGGGTTTGAAATATGCCCTTTGTTGTAAAATTCGGAAATTAGCGTACATTTATCACTCCTATTCTGCTTAAATTAGCCACTTTACCAATATATTTTTGTATTCCCCTTCACTTTACACTTTACTTGATTTGTTATAACTTGCTTTACGACTTTAATATTAACCAATTCATCACAATTCATTAAATAAAAACACCTTCAAAATCACGCGTCTGACTTTGGTTGCATATGCAAATTAAATGGCGGAGTTCAGCTGTCAAACTCCAAAATATGCAAAAGAATGAGAGACAAAAGAAGATAGGATATAACCCAGTAAGCATTAAAAATATACAAAGGTGTTCTCTGCAAAAGGTGTTCAGCTCCTTNGATGGATATAATGTAAGTGTTTCTAGCAGTTTTCAATTGAAACATTTAATACTTTGATTACAAATATACAACAAAACTTTGCAAATCGCACCGATTTGAAATCGTACGATTTGCAGAACATACCTGATAAATTTCAATTAACCCTCATACGATCTTCGGGTGAAAATTCAGCCATTTTGAGAAGTAAAGCCAAGTAGTTTTCAAATTGTTAAGTAAAAAAATATCACGTTTAGGGCCGGTTGTTCAATGTCTGATTAGCACAAATCGGAGGTAGAAGCTCCGGTTTAGCACAACTACTGCTTTATCGATCACATGTTACATGCATGATGTCGAAATCGTCGATAGTGTAGGGGTAGTGATAACCAGACATTGAGTAACCGGCCCTAAATGTGCTTTNATTTGTCCGTGATGACCACATGTTCCCCGTAGCGAATATCATGCATTAGTAACTTAAGTGTCTTGTACGGCCATATTAAGGCTTCAATGACTTTGGGCTCCGTTTATATGGAAGTCGTTCATGAGTTTTGCATACAAATGGTAATTTTGTCGTTAATGGCCTCTGCATGACTTTGTCATGAAGTGATCATTGATGACATTCAAGCGACAATGTCCTGCAATGAACTTTTTATAAGTGACCGCTGCAAGACATTGTCTGTTATAAGTCCTTGATAGGAGTACACCTGCATGACATTGTCATCAATGTCATTGTATATGTCACATGTATATGTCGTTTAAGATTTACAGCAAGTGCGACAATGTTGCTAAATCCTCATTAGTGACCATTTTCGCTACTGGGTTATAAAAAATCAGCGTATTTTCTTACATGTGTGAACAACTTTAGTTTTATTTTTGTAGTTACATTAGCGATTTTCGGATGAAATTTCACCCATTTTCAAAATGATCACATAATATTCGCAATATATTTTTGTAAAGATTGCTTAAAATAAAATATAAGGTGCAATCCCGTGTTTCTTGGACTAAAACTAGTAAAACTGTCAAAAAATAAAAATTCGCTTAGAGCGAGAGAGTAACATTGAAAAGTGCGGGATCGCTTTCTAGTAAAAATGGTAACTTCTGTCAACTTCAACATAACCTCCAAATTTTGGTTGTAAATTTTTGCTTATTTTGTATGTAAACACGTTCAGCTCACACATGTAAATAACCGAAAATAGTTTAAAATTCATTAGAATCAACTTGAACAAGTAATTAAACACTTTTCAACATAAATTAGCAGAGTGCACTTTCCTTTTGTTTACAATTTGGATGCCAAACACACTACAGCTGATCGTTTGACACATTTACCAGAATTTACCAGCAAATAAATCTTCGGACTAAAACTGGTAACTTCTGACAGAGAGACGACTTTATTTACTCTCTTTTTTGTCCTCTCAGTAGTCAGAGAACCGAGTACGGGATAGATTTCCAGTGAAATCTGACTGATTCTGACTATTTCTGACTAGTCTGGACTCACAACTATAATAAATGTCTTTCACAATAAACTTGATATGAAAAAAATTTATTGCGATTTATGTTAATTTGTGTCATGGTACAATAATTACAGGTATTGTCTTCCCAGAGCACATATTCCGATCTGCGTTATTTGTCAATGTCAATGTCAAATTTGTTAAAAACATAGTTAACATAAACTAGTAAAACTAAAACACAACTAAATTAATAAAAACAAATTAAATGGGTATAACGATTCACTTTACTGTATAGACTTATCCATATGTACATATGTCTCTTTACACATGCATACATATCGTCACTAGATACGAATACAGACGCGAGCTCAAAAGTTGATAGCGAAAAAAGAGGCGTAAAAAAATTTCGGCGAAGGAAGACTCCTAACATAGGTGACGGCAAATAAAGCCGCGTTAACCTATTTGACAGCGAAGAAAGACCCATAAACTTATGTCCGCGGTCAACTATATTTTCGAGTGCAACAGTATTCCCCAAAGAGTTTTTCCGAGCTCTTTATTCGTGTCTAGTGACGATATTATTATTATTACGTCGAAGATACCCGCGCTGCGACCTAAGAAGATATATTGTGCTAAATCAAAATTGTAATCACTCCAACCTTAGGCTATTTAAAAAGCTCAGCACTTTAGATGAGTCCATGTTCCAAATTTTAGATGGAGAAGGCAATCGTTCTCCAAGGTGTATCAATCTACGATTCATGCTTCGTGGACAGGCACATAGAATATACTCTGGGGTTTCTTTCACCAGCCGACAAACCCTACAGTTCGCCTCTAAAGAAAGACCCATTTATGTAAAACCGTACGTTAACTTGCAGTGTGCTGTCAGGTTGCCAGTAAGGGCCGTTTGCACCATGTCTAGTTAACGCTAACTGGAGGTACATCCTTCAGTTAAGCACGTTAACTGCTTTATCGATCAAATGTTATATGATGGGTGTCGATAACGTCGATAAAGATGTTTAACTGGGAGTTAGAATTAACTAGACATGGTGCAAACGGCCCTAAGAGTTCTAAGTTCAAGGTGTCTTTCTTTGTCTTTGTCTAAATGCTAAAATCAACCCTGTGATCTTCCAAAATTTCCACGATTCGAACGTGGTTTAATGAGAAAAAGTGGCAACATTGTTTTTTCGCGTATACAGTGGCTAGCTGCGTTTCAGTGATCGCCGATCGATATTTCATTTCTTATTTTAAATTATTTGGATAAAGAAAAGTTACGCAAATTCAACATCGATGGGATGCTGATAGAAATCTGGATCAATTTGTGATCAACTCTGTTTGTTTTGTTTCCTAATTAAGTGAGGAAATTTTAATTTACAGCACCGACAAATGAATATATATAAAAACAAATGTTCAGTTTTGGTTAAAATAATTCAAGTTTTTGTATTGAATTTTTGGTTTAAAATTTATTTTTTCCTTTTCGGTAGGGTTTTTTGCACATTATCTTCTACGTGAGAATTGATCGTAATAGATACGGATCTGAATAAGCGACTGGAACACGGCTGTTTGTCAAAAGCATACGTTTTCGAACTCGCGTAAATGTACATTTGCTAAATGCGATAGCATGAACGCTCTTCGAAAACATATGTTCGAAAGTGCTAAATGTTGCATTTTAAATGCAGCAAAAACGCCGCATAAGGCCTTTAACGCTGCCTGAATGTCCGACATAATAGGTGCAATCCCGTATTCCTCGGACTCGGACTAGTAAAACTGTCAAAAAATAAAAATTCACTCAGAGCGAGAGAGTAACATTGAAAAGTGCGGGATCGCTTTCTAGTAAAAAATGGTAACTTCTGTCAACTTCAACATAACCTCCAAATTTTGCTTGTAAATTTTTGCTTATTTTGTATGTAAACACACTCAGCTCACACATGTAAATAACCAAAAACACCATGAAATTCATTAGAATCCACTTAAACAAGTAATTAAATACTTTTCAACGTGAATTAGCAGAGTGC